AGGGGGTTTTCCCTCTAATCTAGTTTAGAATATCAAATTGGATTGCTAAGCACAAACATGCACAATCAACATGAAAAATACCTCAATCATTGAATTAAACAACACCCATAAACAATCATTCAATTCACACAACTACGTGACAAATAGTTAGGGTTTCACAGCACCCAAGTGAAAAAGGAAACTACTCCATGCTAGAAAGGGGAAGAACACAAGAGGAAGAGGTAGAAACCATCATGGTGATGCCTACAATCTCCTTTGAGCTTGTGTTGATCTTCTCTTGGGGAGAATCTTCCCAATTCTCCATTTCGAGCAAACCCTAGCCTTCTTTCTTCCTTGGTTCGTCCTTTCTCTCTCTAAAATCTGAAGAAGAAGAAGAAGAAGAAGAAGAAGACACTTTCACTCTTGGGCTCTCCCTTCTCTCTTCCTTTCAGCTCACATTATATACCAGGATCAGAATCAGTTCATGGCCTCAGTTCACGGCCGTGAACTCTTCAACGCATCTGTGAATATAGAGTGTGATGTCGAAACGCACCGCTTTGCCATCAGGAGTTCATGGTTTGGCCTCAATCTTCACAGTATTGTTGACCGTGAATTCGTCTTGCGGTAGTAATTGCATATTTCTCCCTGGACGCATCGCGGTTCACAGTTTTGGGCTTCAGTTCACGGCCATAGTGGACCGTGAACTCCAATGCTAACCCGTGAAATCCGCCTGGATCACCCTCTTGGCTACGGTCTTCGCCTCTTTTTGTCCAACTTTCCACTCCGTGGCTGGTTTGACCTGTAGGATCATGAAACACACTAAAACGCACAAAACCTAGCGTAAAACCACCCTTTTAGGAGTCCAAATGCTACAAACGCCCAAGGAAAACGGGGATAAAATGTGTGCAATTAGGCCCGAATCACTCCCCCACACATAGACGTTTGCAACGATCCCCAAGCAAACCATATCCCACAAGGTAAAAAGTCAACCTATCAAAATGCTTTGTGGACAATTCAAAGGGCACAAAGTGGCGAATCTCAAATGGCTATTGGCAATTAACACAAGGACCGTTGCAAGCAATACCAAAATCCACCACAAACGACATTCGAGGCTACTAGAGATGAACAAATGAAAAGTTCTCACCTTGTTCATGATTCAATGCAAGTATCAACAAGATCGCTTACCAACCAAAACTAATCATGCATAGAGTTCAAGTCCAAGGAACAAACAGATGTGCAACAAAGGTCCTCAACGGGGTATGATATGACATGCAAAACAAGAATGAATCACTCACTCTCTTGACTAGTGGAGTCGGGACCTTTTGGTGCAAAAAATGTGCACAATCATCAACTCTCGACCCTATCGTCTCAACACGGTGGCGGCAACCTCTAAATGCTAGAGTTCACATAATGGTTGTCTTCACTAGCTTGTTCGGAGTTCTTAGACACGGGTTCAAATGACTGGCGATTGGCTTGGACATGGGCAAAAAGCTTATTGAGTGGTGGCAATCACATTATGAAGTCCTACATCTTCACCCTAAAACCGAACGTTCTATGGTTTCGACTAAGAACCTTCCTTACAAACAACGACCACTAGCATCGTCCAAAAACCTTGCTTCTCCCTTCCAACTATCACCCATCATGAAATTCCGTTAAGCAGTCTTCCTCGGTCCACTCTTGCTATCACACTTTGATTTGGTAGTGAAGGAGTTCTAAGACAATGTGGAGGTTTCAATGGCTTGTGCGCCAAGAAACCTCACCTAGAGCATACTCTTTGATTCCTTGTGGCACTCTCTACTTTATTTACCCCGTTTTATTACCTCTTTTTCATTTCTCTTTCTCTTTCTTTTTCTTTCTACTTTCCTTTTATTTTCTTTTTCTTTTGTTTTTGAGGGGGGTACTAGAGAGTTAAACATTTGCCACACTACTTTTAACGCTCAATGCTCTCTTTTTTTAAGAACTCACTCCAACACTACTCTTCCTTTCACTTTCGAACATAGCAAGAACCGCACACAATCCTTCTATGTAGAACCTCAATGGAACTCAAAAGCGAGAGCTTCGGGACACAAGGACGACACATATAGAGACACAGAGAAAGGATGGGGGGTCTTCCTCTTAACACTATTAAGCTCACAAGCAAAAAGCTCCTAACATGAGAGCGGCCCCCAAAGTCACTAGGGTCAAAGGGGTTGACTAGTGGATAATTCGTGTCGGGACAAACAACATTTGGGCGTGGACCAATCTTATGCCTCCATCATACTCACTAATGACAACTGTGATGTTACTCGCCCTGGTAAGAGGGATCTAAGCAGACAACAAGAAAACGATCGGCTAAAAGCTCACATGGCTACCTAGTCACCCAACCATCTATTGCAATTCACAACGCAACATGCATGACAACTGTAATCAACAAGTAATCGAGTCAAAACATCCATTCACTTTTGCACACATGAGAACTAAACTTTTTCACTATCCTAATGCACCTCTCAATCATCATCATATGTCATACTCGATCACATGCAACCATTCAAGGTCAATGACAATAACCACAAGATTCTCCTTCAAACCGGCCACTTTGATCATGCAAACATTGCTTGGAGCCCTCAAAATTTTCAAATTTGGGCATAAATCAACGCTCCAAGCATCAATCACCCTCACAAAAGCATAAAAGTAGACTACCGCCCCCCCCCCCCCACACACACACACACACACTTAAGCTCGACATTTCCCTCAATGGCGTAAGATAGGGGTAGAACGACATTACCGCTTTTCTTGGTGAGTGAAAGTTGGAATTGTTTCTGGGGTAGGAGATTTGTAGCCTCAAGGAAAAGACAAAAATACACACATACAAACACAATACGACTCGCTCAAGGAGATGTTATTACAAAACACAATACGATAGTAGTAATAGTAGGACAAACTTGCTAACCTCCGTTGGGTTGCCTCCCAACAAGCGCATCTTTAACGTCTTAAGCTAGATGGAGACTCTGGGTCATGCATCTTGTAGGAACATCACCTTTTTTTGCGGCATTACCTCTCCTACAAGGTAATGTTTCAGGTGGTGTCCATTCACTTTGAAAGTTCCTTCCTCCGGGTGGGAGATCTCAACTACCCCTTATGGGAACACTTGCGTTACCACATACGGGCCTGACCATTTCGACCATAGCTTCCCTGGGAATAATCTCAACCGGGAGTTGTATAAGAGAACATGGTCTCATGGTTGGGAATCTTCCCTCCTTTCAGTCGAGCATCATGCAAGCACTTCGTCTTTTCCTTGTAAGTATTGGTGTTCTCATAGGCTTCGAGACGCCATTCCTCGAGTTCAAGCACCTGCAACTTTCGTTCATTGCCACACGAAATAGGATCCATATTCAAAAGCTTTGTGGCCCAGAAAGCCTTGTGCTCTAGATCTACGGGAAAGTGGCATGCTTTGCCATACATCAAATGGTAAGGCGAGACGCGTATTGGGGTTTTGTAGGTTGTGTGGTACGCCCATAGAGCATCATCGAGTTTTGCGGACCAATCCTTGCGGGATTGATCCACGGTCTTTTCTAGTATCTGTTTCGGTTCTCTATTTGAAAACTCGCCTTGTCCACTAGTTTGGGGATGATAGGCCATGGACACCCGGTGCATGACGTCGTAGCGATCAAGGAGTTTGTCGAATACATAGACTCGTCTTGCATCATTGGTGGGGAGAGCTTGAGCCTCAACCCACCTCGAGATGTAGTCTACGACCACAAAATGTACTTGTTACCAAAATACGAGGGGAAAGGACCCATAAAATTGATGCCCCAAACATCAAAGATCTCACAAGTGATAAAAATTGATGGGGCATCTCATTTCGGTTAGAAGCATTACCTATCCTTTGGCATCTGTCACAATGAATCACAAATTTTTAGGCATCCCGAAAAAGGCTTGACTAATATCCTGACTGGAGCACCTTTCTTGTCGTTCGATTGCTTCCGTGATGGCCTCCAGCTAGTCCCGTATGATAGTGGTTTAAGATATCCGTCATTTCCTCCTTCAGTACACACCTCCGAATGACTCTGTCGGACCCAATCCGAAAGAGGTGGGGGTCATCCCAAAAGTAGCATCGGAGGTCGGAGAAAAACTTATTTCTCTCATGTGTATTCATTCCCTTGCCCAGCTGACCTCCAACCAGATAGTTGGCGAAGTTTGCGAACCACGGGCTGGCACTCTCTGCAGCGGCGAGGGCAAATAACCGTTCATCGGGGAAGGTGTCATTTATCTCTCTTGGGGAGGTGCTCCCTCCCGGTCCTTGGAGCCGCGAGAGGTGGTCAGCCGCAAGATTTTCGACCCCCTTTTTCCCTGATCTCCACATTGAACTCTTGAAGTAATAGGATCCATCGGATTAGTCGGGGCTTGGCATCCGCCTTGCTCATCAAAAAGCGGATGGTGGAGTGGTCGGTATAGACAATAACCTTTGAGAGCGCCAGATAAGTCCTGAAATTATCGAAAGCGAAGATTACTGCCAACAACTCTTTTTCGGTAGTTGTGTAGTTCTCCTGAGCATAATTCTGTGTCTTTGAGGCGTAGCAAATAGGTTGAAAATGTCTACCCCGCCTTTGGCCCAACACCGCTCCCACTGCATAATCACTAGCATCACACATGAGCTCGAAAAAAAGGCTCCAATCCGGTGAGACCATTATGGGGGCATTAGTAAGCTTCTCCTTAAGGATGTTAAAAGCTTCAGAACATTCCCTTGTGAAAAGGATTGGGGCATCCTTCTCTAAAAGCTTGGTCAAGGGTAATGCAATCTTCAAGAAGTTCTCAATGAACCGTCGGTAAAACCTAGCATGCCCAAGGAAACTCCTGATGCCCTTGACCGTGGTTGCTGGAGGGAGCTTGATTATTGTCTCAACTTTGGCTCGATCCACCTCAATCCCTCTCTTGGAGATTTTGTGACCCAACACAATGCTCCCCTGAACCATAAAATGAGACTTCTTCCAACTCAAAGCTAGATTGATTTATTCACATCACTCAAGGACCTTCTCCAAGTTGGCAAGACAGTGAGAGAATGAATCTTCGAACACCGAGAAGTCGTCCATGAACACTTCCGTTATCTCCCCCACTAGCTTATCAAAAATGGCTACCATGCATCTTTGGACTGTCGCTGGGGCATTGCACAATCCAAACGGAATGCGCCTTGTAGAAACCACATTTTGTCCGGGTCTAAAAACTATGAAAAGACTTGAAGACTTCAAAGTAAGAAGTGGGGTTTAGTCGGCTTGAATACATAAATGGTTTACTTGCGGATAACAGTCGACTTGAATACAATGGGCTATGTCTTCTCAAATCCATGTCACCGTTTGAGAGCCCGAAACCAACAACAGCAACCTGTAAACAAAAATGAGAGATAAGTTAGTTCAAGCCCAAGTCAAACCCATAATCAGAGTCCGGCCCACCAAACTATTCAAGCCCACCAGATCAGCAATGAAATAGGCCGGCCCACAAACCCAGAAGCTCAAGTATGCAAACTGATGTGGTCCTAATCCATCCTGGCCCAAATCAGGCTCGGCCCACACCCGACCTGACCACTCAGCAACCCTCTTTGCAGGTGGAGGCTTCAGATGCAGCCTTGACGATCAACCAATCAGAGAGAAGCATGTCATGCTCATCATCAATCACAGCATGACACGTGGCACTTTCTTTTACTATTAAAGAGCTCTTTGGGCTCTCAAGTTTGGGGACAGTTTTTGGGAAGGGAAGATAGGGGGAAAACGCTTGAGAAATAGTGAGAATGAGAGAAACAATTTTCCTTTTTCCCTTTTACAAAAATTGTATCCCAAAGTTCGTAATAGCTGAAGGGCAACGATTTCTAGTCCAAAGTCTGTAATAGTTGAAAAACAAGGATTAGGAGATCCAACGTTGCCAAAAGGTTGGTGTTTGTAAACCTCAAATCTCTCTTTGATTTAATAACAATATCGTCAATTCCATTTGTGCTCATTCCATCAAGCATACTTATTGCCTTTTATTTTAGTTTTTCCAATTACACAGATTATACTATATTCATGAGCTGCGATTAAAGTAGCTGCTTATTTTCTCATCAATTTCATTACTATTCCTAGCCTATCATTATGTATATCGTTGCTATTAACCGATCGATTCAACTATCCATGAATTAGTGTCTTGCTTTAAATTACAACCATGCTTTAAATTTCCTTTCTAGCGAATAGATGATAAAAGTAGAACTCAAATAGACAAAGGTCTATAGGAAGTGCAGAAACCATTTTTCCGACCAAAAAAAAACATTTATAAGGCCATTGATTAGTCCAGATCCAGACCCACCAAAAATCATCATAACAATCAGATTTACATAAAAAAACACTTTGTGAACCAACTCAGAAAATAGCAATCCTAGAATAAAATCACAATCAGTGGCGATGAGTTTAGAACATACTTTTCTTATTTAATAGAAAAATCAGTGGTTTATGTGTAATAAACACGATTATAATATTTCTATATTTATTTCTCCCTCTAAACTCTAGATCCCAAAGAAATCACCATAGTTCAACTAAAAATACCAATGGTTACATTATATTAAAATAGTGAAAATCTTGATTTTTTTGTTAATTAGATCAGAAGCAGTAGCGCTGATCACTAGGTGCTAACTTACCATTCCAAACCGATTTGGTTTTCTTTAAATGATTGATAGCGTAATAAGAATCAAAACCAATTCCAGAAACAAACCACTCGTTCAAAATCAATCAAAACACACACACAACCATATTTCCTAAAAATCTAGATCCGCCAACCATTTCAGGTCCACCACAAATACTCTAGTTTTGAGGTTAAAATTCCTAACCATACTAAACCGAGGTTAAGGGAACCTCACCTAGATCCGTCCATTTATATAACCTGCTTCAAAACAAGGGTTGAGGTCAGATCCGACCCATATCGAAATCAACAAACATAGAAGTTATAGAAACAAAATCCCCCACCTATCTTCTTTTGTCGCTGGGATTCTCATCGATGGCAAGTTTGCTTTCTCCTCCAGTGACCTTTTTTTCTCTTCCCCCTCGCACAATACCGAAACCCAGAAAAAATCAGAAATTTCCATCTTCACAAAAAAAAATCGAATAAAATTCCACATGCAAACCCAATCTTACGCTTATCTCCACATTCCTATTTGTCTAGTTGTCGATCTTCGTCACCGACGAGATGAACACCCCATTGCCGGCGACCTTGTCCTTCCTACGAGACTAGAATACTAGGTCTCCTCCTCGCCGAAACCAAAACTCAAAAACCATCGATTCAAAACCAAAAATCAAAGAAAGGAAACATGCATGTCAATTTTACTTACATCTAGAGAGGAAGTCTCCGATTTAGGTTCATCGTGGTCAGATTCCTTGACCGGCGACGAGAGAGAAGAGCGGCTGCGACGGACAGTAGAGAGGAGGAATTGAGTTTGCTGTTTGTTTTATTTAACGCTTCGATTTAGCGTCTCGTCTTCCGAAAGGCCGCGCAGAGGGGAAGGATCGAGAGAAATTGAGAGAGGGGAAGAACAGCACGGCGGCTAGCCGCTTAGAGTCGATTAGGATTTTGTTTAAGAGATTTATATACCATGACTTTTGAAATGACCAAATTGCCCCTAGGGTTAGGTTGCATTTACAGCCCCTTGCCACCGTATTTTGGAGTATTTACGAAAGTACCCTTCCTCTTTCTCTGAAATAAAATGAGAAATCCAAAAATGGTGGTGACCGGGTTTCAAACCCTCGTTCTCGAGGAACGGACGCGCTATACGACTGGCATTTTAGCCAGTTGGGCTGCTGGCCCATCATGCGTAAATATAATCATCTCGTTTAGTTTTTTTCATTTAAAATTCTTAATACGAAATGCTGAATGCGAATTAAGTTTCTCTTGTTTCATTTCTAATACGTCAAAATACTTCCTAATAACTAAAATATTTGCATTTATTGTCATAACCTCATAATAATCTAAATGAAGTTTTATTAACAAAATTATAATACGAGAATTACGTTCAGTGGAATGTTTCGAAGAGGCATGTGAATATTGTCTTGGCTTGATCTTCTAGGACGATTGGAATCTGGAAGTATCCTGACATCCCATCTAGGAAGCAGTAGTAATCGTGTCTAGTGAGCCTCTCCAGGATTTGATCGATGAAAGGCAAAGGAAAGTGATCTTTACGAGTGGCATCGTTCAATCTTTGATAGTCGATGCACACCCTCCACCCCGTCACCGTTCTTGTTGGTATAAGCTCTTCCTTCTCATTGGTTACCACCGTCATTCCTCCCTTCTTAGGGACTACGTGGGTTGGACTCACCCACTGGCTATCCGAGATAGGGTAGATAATCTTGGCATCCAATAGCTTAATCACTTCTGCTTTCACCACTTCTTCCAGATTAGGATTCACTCACCTTTGCAGTTGTCGAACCGGTTTAGCACCCTCCTCCAGGTGGATCTTGTGTGAACAAAAGTTCGCCCCAATTTCCGGATATTTGTGATCTTCCATGCTATCACCCTCTCATGACGTCTTAGGACCCCAATTAATTTCCCCTTCTGCTCCGGTGTAAGATTGGCGTTGATGATGACTGGAAGCTTTCCATCATCCCTAAAAAAGGCATATTCGATGTGAGGAGGCAGAGGCTTCAACTCCAACTCGGGGGTTCCTTCAAAGAGGTAGAGATTTTAGGCATTGAGGGTAAGGCCTCCACTTCTTGATCTTGTGGGGGTTGGCTTCCATTCTCCGGGGAGCCCGTGATGTCCATTCCTACCAAACAACACCCTTCAAAAAGGTCAGAAGTAAGGGCACCCGCTGATGCGAGTGCCTCGATGAAGTCAAAAACCTCTTCGCAATAATCAAAATCATCATGGCAACCAGACAACTGCATGCTATCATCAATAGAGAATGTAACCTCTTCCTCCGATGCCCTAAGCACCAACTTTCCCCCATGCACATTAATCAAAGCCTTGGCGGTGGCTAATAAAGGCCTACCCAAGATGAGGGGGACCTTAACATTCTCATCAATGTCTAAGATGACGAAGTCAACAGGATAAATGAGAGGTCCTACCTTAATGAGTAAGTCCTCCACAACACCTTTAGGCCGTACTATACACCTATCCGCCAATTGAATGTTCATCCTAGTGGATCTAAGTTCTCCTAGTTCTAGCTTTTGAAACAACTTATAGGGCATCACATTTATACTAGCTCCTAGATCCGTCAAGGATTTTCCTATGCACATGTTACCAATAAAGCAAGGGATAGTGAAACTCCCTGGATCTTTTCGCTTCGCATGCAATTGGTCTTGCAAGATGGCGGAGCATTCCTCATTCAAGCTCACCATTGCTACCCCCTCTAGCTTTTTCTTGTTGGTGAGAGGTCCTTCAAGTATTTGGCGTACTTGGGCATTTGGGTAACGGCCTCCATGAAGGGGATGTTCAAATGCAACTGGTTCATCAACTCCATAAAGTGGGCAAACTCCACTGCCATGCGGTCATTGCGGAGTCGAGAAGGAAAGGGGAGAGTTGGGGTTGCTTTTTCCTTCTCTCACTCCGGTTGAGGGGTCGGATTGGCATTCTCTTTATCCTTTGCACTTATGGCCTCCTGCTGTGCGGGGAAGCTACCGACGACTTGTTGCTCCTCTGTTGCGAGCGGCTTCTTCTTTGGGGGTAACTCCTTGGCCTCTCTTCCGTTTCGAAGAGAAACTGCCCCTACTTCTACTTCGTTGGCTGACTTCCAAGAATGAGCTGCTTGTGAGATAATCCCTACACTTGTGGCCAGGGTTGTCAGACGGTTTTGCTGGCTCTCCAACCCCGCCTCGATGGTCGAGAACTTCTCTATTGCCTCTCCGATGAATCTTTCGATTCTTTCAAACTTTTTCGAGCTGGAAGAGACAAAGGTCATCACTAACTCCTCAAGGCGGGACATCCGTTCGTCAAGCACAAGGGCGGCGATGGAATAGAGCTGCTCGCATGGGGCTGATTCCTCACTCACCATGTGCCACTCAGCCTCCTCATGGTCCTCACTTGTACCCCACTCAATAGATGGCACTACTCCATTTTCTTGCTCCTTGTCTTCGAGAATCACCTCGATCAACTTTTCAAGTTTCACTTCAAGTGGAGCGCTTGCTCCCACACTTCTCACTCCTCTATCATTAATTCTTCTCTCGCTCCTCGTCAAACCCCAATCGTACCCCTTGAGGGCCATGTCCTCGAGCAATTGGGTCGCTTGCGGTGGAGTCATATTCATCAATTTCCCTTGACAAAGCGAGTCAATGAGAATCTTGTCCTCTTGGATTAGTCCACCGAAAGTTTCAATTCGAAACTGCTCCTAGAACCCATGGTGAGGGCATTGAAGAAAGTAATCGTAGAATCTCTCTCAAGCATCCCGCAAGGTGTCGTCTTCTTCTTGCTCGAAATGGGTGATCTTCTTCCTCCACTCGGCCGTCTTCGAAGGTGGGCAGTAGCGGGTCATGAATTTGTTGAGAAGATCGTCCCATGAGGTGATTGAACTAGGCAGGCGGTTGTTTAGCCATGAGATTGCTTTCCCCGCAAGTGAATAGGGGAAAGCCTCAGATGCAAAACTTCAGCCGGCATGCCATTGATTTTCAAGCTCACCGCGAGTTCTAGGAATCTCTGCACATACTCTCTTGCTGACTCGCTCGGAAGTCTGTGGAACAAAGCATTGTTCTGTATCAGGTCACTAGAGTAGGCTTGATCTCGAAATTGTTGGCCGCCACTGGAGGGTGTAGGATTGGTGATTGAATGTCCGCCAGCCGTGGGGCCATATAGTATCCCATTGTCCTCGGGACTTCCTCTTCCGCCGCCGCATCGTTTAGGTTACGAGCTTGGGTGGCTCCTGCTTCTCTTTGGTTCCCTACCATTTCTACTCCAATGTTGGGTTCACCTTCCACTTCTTCAACTTCTACTCCACCAGCACCGGGACCAAATTGTTGTCCCCTTTCTTCACTTCTCCTCCTTGCCTCCACTAGCTACCTCTCCCGTGCTAGGAGTCGGAGAGTTCGGTTTATGTCCTCGTCACGTGGTATCAAAGTCGTCGGATTGCTCCAGGTCATGCACCTCCCTAGACACACTTAGAAAACAACACCAAGTCTAGCATAAGCAAAGCACACACACTTTCAAAGCTAGAAAATAAAAGCTAGATTAACAACAAACAACTTTTTCAAGATCACAGACCGTTGTCCCTGGCAACTACGCCAAAAACTTGACTCGTCCCGAATATCACAATTAATTCTCACCTAAGGTCCAAGTATAAACCTTAGTAGGGTGCAATACAGGGAAAGTATGTTTAAATATCGACTCGACTCGAGCCGGTCCGTGTACCCCTACTTCAATTGTTTGAAACATTATCTAGCGAATCGGTTTTGGTTGAAAAGTTTTCTAATTAAAGTAAAGCAAGACAAAAGTAAATGAGTTTGAAAGATCTATGTAAGAAGGATCACTCGGTTGTCGCTTCCCCTAACTACTACCATGACACGTGAAATCGAATTAATCGGCTAATAAATTGTATTTACCCATAATTTCCTATCTCTTACTTGCATTTTGGGTTTCAGATCTCATATTAATCTCAAGTAGAATTGACCTCCCGGGGAGCAATATATGTGTATATATAATAATAATCTCAGATTTAAAACAAACCAAACGTTGGTTGAGCCTTCCCTTCAAAATGCACTCCACCATTTTCATTTCCTCCTCACCAACCAAGATTCCACCCGATACTGATTTCAGACATCTCACCAAATTCTCACTCCCACCTCAAACCAAATGCGAGACATCCATGTTCAAATTCCCCGCATTTTCACCCACCCATCTCTGATTCAGCTCTCAAAATCGGGAGAAACCCAAAATCTTTAAACAAGGGAAAAGATATATATATATATATATATATACATATATAAATCTAACAGTAGCCTGAAAAGTTTACAGCTTTCGGTATTGGTGTCTCTTGGATTGAACCTCCATGATGGAGACCTCGCCGCCGCTGGGGCGGTTCCAGTACCAGAGGCTCGACTTGAAGCGTTGGGTCCCAACATTTCTTTCTTCCCACAAAACCCTCTTCACCGTCTTGTGGATCGCCGCCTTTGGTTCCGTCTTCCTCTGGCAGCAGAATGTCGTCGGCGGCGGAGGGTTCAATATCTTCTGGCGGACGCCCGTCCGGCCGATGCCCAAACTACGCCCGGTGGCTTTTAATCTGACCGATTTTGGTGGGGTGGGCGATGGGGTCACTGTGAACACCGTCGCCTTCGAGAGGGCTGTCTCGGCGATCTCAAAGCTTGGGAAGAGAGGCGGTGGGCAGCTGAATGTGCCTCCAGGAAGTTGGCTTACTGGACCTTTCAATCTCACTAGTCACATGACTTTATTCCTTGCCGAGGGTGCTGTTATACTTGGAATTCAGGTCTGTTTCTTTCCTTTTCTGTTGATTCGCCTCTGCTTTTTACTTGAGTTTCTGTATCAATTGAACACCAACGTCCAACTAGCTTGTGTGGGATTGATTAGAACTGGACCTTTGAGATCCAAAATTGCGATGAACTTACATGTAAGGCTGCTAATCAGATATCGAGCACTTGTGATAATTCATTATGAATTTCTATGGACAACGCATTCATGGAGAGAGTAGTGTGCATTGATGGTGTTCAAACTGTTTAGTTTTGGATTTTAATTGGCATATATTTAGTGCTTCTCACTTCATATCATGGTTCCATGATCATGGAAATTTCCCACCTCTATCTGAGTATATATACTACATGGATCCATGCCAATTGAAGCTTTTCCTTTATGTGAGCAATAGGATGAGAAGTATTGGCCTCTTATGCCACCATTGCCTTCCTATGGGTATGGGAGAGAGCATCCTGGTCCTCGATATGGGAGCTTAATTCATGGTCAAAATCTCAAAGATGTTGTCATCACTGGTCAGTCAATTCATCTTATGCAATTCTGCTGCCTATTGAATTCAAATTGCACGTTCTGTCAAATACTCTCCCTTTGACTCCTAAGTTTATGCTGTGAGATTGTGCATTGAACTTCAAGACTGCTCTTGTACAGGCCACTAACATTATAAACCAACCTAGTCCTTTAAATTTATATATAGTAACATGTGGACCAGCACAGAGAATCATAAGACGTGCTTAGGATGTCACTGTTCCGCCCCTACCATTTAATTTATTGATTCTGCCTTCTGGAGATAGTAAACTAGGCGAATTTAACCCACAACATATAAACTATAATCAGGTGTAACACGAAACCGTACCCTGGGAAAGAAATGTTGCAACAATTCAAGAGTACATCAGGATATTAGCCTATAAGATTTATGATGGACGGATTGTTATGCCATCATTTGTAAAGCTGTACAAGGACTTGACAGATGGTATAGGGAGTTCCATGACCTGGATTTCTTGCAACTAATTGGATCTGACTCTCTTACCTGGTCCATAGTTCACTTACATCTTTCTGCAGTACCATAGTCCATACTATGCTTTTATTTGTTACCAACCGGAGAACTTTTAGCCCTCCAAATCAGCAGGGAACTTTTATCCGTCGTTTATGAATTAGGTCCAAAGTATTTTGTTTTTTTGTTTTTTTTTTGTTTTAATGTTGAGTTATTTGCCAATTTGGAAGCTCAATATGGAAGATACTGATGAATAAGGTGAAATACTTGGATTTGACTCCTTCACGTGATTTATACTTGAACATATTCTTAAAGCTTTCCTATTATAGTTCCAGAACTGTCATTCTCCAACATGTATACATAAACGGAAGGCTTGGATTTGTCTCTTATTCAAACTAGAGGTTAGTCAAATCACAAAATAATTAACCTTCCATGTCACTCTTTATTCGATGATGCTGCCTAAATTTGTTTAATATGCTCAGAAAGGTCTTCCATTGTTGACGTCTAAAAAACTGTCATATGCACTTTACTGAGAATTAATGTAGTCAAGGAGAAATCATGAGGCATAATATTCTAAATGGACAAGATTGCTAGGAACCTTGAATGTGAGTATCTGTTATCAAACTGTTAAGTCCAAAGTCAGAGTGATCTAAGATTATGTTTATTGATCAACAGGACACAATGGTACCATAAATGGCCAGGGTCAAACATGGTGGAAGAAGTACCGCCAGAAGCTCCTAAACCACACTAGGGGTCCTCATGTTCAGATAATGTATTCAAGCGATATTGTGATCACGAACATAACTTTGCGTGATTCCCCATTTTGGACTCTCCATCCATACGACTGCAAGAATGTAACCATAAGGAATGTTACGATTTTGGCTCCCATATTCGAGGCCCCAAACACTGATGGAATTGATCCTGGTAAGCGTTCATAGAAGTTCATTTATGTAAGTTCGGTGATGGTCAGACGGTTGTATGTTTAACCTGTGAAAGTGATCTGTTTCTCATGTTGAACCAGTACCTCTTTAAGTTCTGATCTAGTGCTAGCATATGGTTTGGCTGTGTTTCTGCTAGCAATATTATGTTTCCGAGCCCCTTCCTTTATGTAAACAGATTCATGTGAGGACATGATAATTGAAGACTGCTATATAAGTGTGGGGGATGATGCTATTGCAATTAAGAGTGGCTGGGATCAATATGGAATTGCATACGGGCGACCTGCAAAAAATATTCTCATCCGTAATCTAGTGGTTCGCTCTATGGTCAGGTGATTAGCTGAATGTTCAATATCAAGTTATAATATTACCCCAAACATGTTGCTGAATCGCTTGCATTTTTCAAATTCGCTATCTTGCATTTTCTCTTTATATACTTGCACAGTTGCACTATTACATCTGTTGGCTCTTTATCCTTACATATTTTGCATGCTTCTCTTGCTTTTAGGTGCCTTTCCCTGCATATTAGTTTGTGCGGGACTGTGATGTTTAGAGATAGATATCAGGCACATTTGTGCATGTTCCAAAATTGAAGTTCTCTAAGGGTGCAATTTTGGTAGATTCTCATTGACCTCAAGTAGCTTTGCACATCCTACTGTACTGAAAGTTATTCAGCAATTATAGGTTTAATCCTCGTCCATTGTTTCATTGATCTAGTTTAATAATTAATTCAGAACCAAATTTTAGCAGACCCACGAGTATGTTGAATTATTTCAGGTGAATAAATTTAGGTACAAATTATTTGTTAAAATAAATTAAAATATCGGTCAACGTTAGAAGCTGCAAAGAAATCAAGTACTTTTCTGAGTGATTCTGTATGTAATTAATCAACTGGGTCAATACTCTTCTTAAACAGAAGTGTGAACAACAACGTCAATAAGTTACTGTTGCATGTTTATGGTATATCCACGTGCCTTTGCCATATGCCACAGTTATAGAAACTGAAGTGAACAAACTCAAGTATGTCTACTTCCCAATTTCCCTATTGCAGTATTCATCTATTGCTTTGTAGATGATAATTAAGACTTGCTGTGTACTCTGTAAACAGTGCTGGAATATCTATTGGAAGCGAGATGTCTGGTGGGGTATCAAATGTCACCGTAGAGAATGTCATTGTATGGAATTCGAGGCGTGCAGTTCGTATCAAGACTGCCCCCGGAAGAGGAGGTTATGTGCAACAAATAAGGTACTGCAACCTAACATTTGACAATGTGAGAGTGGGAATTGTAATGAAAACCGACTACAACGAACATCCAGATGAAGGGTACGATCCAAAGGCTGTTCCTGTGATCCAAGACATAAGCTTCACCAGCATCCATGGCCAAGGAGTTCGTGTGCCTGTACGAATACATGGGAGTGAAGAAATCCCTATAAAGAATGTGACTTTTCAAGACATGTCAGTTGGACTAACATACAAGAAGAAGCATATATTTCAGTGTGCCTTTGTGGCAGGGCGTGTAATAGGGACCATTTTCCCAGCACCTTGTGAGAACCTCGATAGGTACGATGAACAAGGACACCTTGTCAGGCGTTCAGCTTCACAGAATACCACAGACATTGACTATGATTTTTGAGTCGAGGGCTTATTGGCAGGGTTGTCCGATTTCCAGGGAGCGTATCCTCCATATCTTGATGCGTTCAGTTGGTATCCCAGAGGCCAGAGATGATGTCTGGATGGACTACATTAGAGGAGCGGATGGTGGTTTCTTATGTTTTCTTCGCATATTCATCACTCCAAAGTCCGCAGCAAATCCTTTCAGCCTTAAAAAATGTTGTGAAATCCTTTTTTCGGTATCTTGTATGTTCTGTAAAACTGTATATACAGAAAGCTTCAGCTATAGCTTGAAAAGTGGAGTGGAATGAAAATATGAAATGAAATGAAATGAGAGATATAGGCTCTGGTTTTGGCTTGGGAGTATTTGATTGTGTTGTGAAGTGCATTATCCAAATTTGTGACCGTATCTAGTTCCAGTATATTAACTTTGTTTTGTTCGGCATGAGAACACACCACATTGATTGACAACAAACACAGTGCATGTCGACTAATTGGTGGTGGCTGACCGCAGGTGATATGGACCCCTAGAGTGAAGAGCCACGGTCTTGACGTGTCCTAAGCTAGGAAATCAGATCTTGGATAACCGAGAGCCTGAGTTGATCGGGTCTTGTGAATTGTGATGACTTGGTATCACGGTCGGCCCATGATATTCGAGGCTCTCTTCGGAAATAAAATGTGGTCCTAAAATTTTTTCTTCATCAATTTATTATAAATAAAATTTATTAAATAATTATAAAAAATACATAAGTTCAAAAAATATTACAATAGCGATAATATTATCAATCATTGTTTGAAAAGTAACAACCGTTTAGTATTATTTGAAATAAAATTTTCTATTAGTTGGAGAATTTTCAGGAACCTCGTCAAAATGCCTCTTTCTTTTAATCTCATGCCTTTGAGGAAAATTTGGAACAACATCCATTGTAGTGCATACTTTCTTTGCTAGCTCTAAGACTTTTTGAAAATCATATTCTCTATATCTTTTGAAAAATGAAATCAATCCATCTATTTTTAAAATAACATCATCAATAAGTATATCTTTGGATTGTAAATGTTTACTAACCACATTTGTTAAAAACAATATTTCATACCAAATAACTAATGAAAGAATAAACTCAAAATCACCAAGTTCATTTCGTGCTAAAGATTCAGCTTCACTGCTAATTTTTGAATCGCCATCAAGATCAGCTACTTGATGTAAGACTTCTCTCACTTCTGTCATTTGAAACCCAATTGCTTTTACACTTTCAACACAACTCTCCCAACGAGTAGACGATAACGGTTTCAAAGTCAAATTAACATTATTTTTCAAAATAAGCCATCTTTTGTTGGAATTTGAAAATATCATATAAATACGTTCAATAATTCCAAAAAAATCTCTAGCTTTACGACAAGAATTGGCCATATCACATAATGTCAAATTAAGACTATGAGAAGCACATGATGTATTAAATGCTCTAGGATTTACATCTAATTACCTTCTTTGAACACCACTATGTTCTACTTTCATGTTTGATCCATTGTCATAGGATTGACCTGTAATGTATCAATGTCAAAATCAAGAGAATTCAACTCATTTTTAAGAACATCAAATAATCCTAAACCTGTAGTATCATCCACTTCCAAAAACCCCAAAAAAGACTCCTCAATTGAAATAGAATTTGAAGAGAAATCCACACACCTGAGTATCATTGACATTTGTTCTTGGTGACTTATATCGGGAATACAATGAAGAATAACAAAAAAAATACTTTGCTTGCTTTATCTTTCCAATAATTTTAGATTTAATTTCATTAGCAAAAGTATAATTTCATTTTGAATTCTATGAAGAAGATAATGATGATGAATCTCATAATTTGTAATGCGACGAACATGCTCTTGAATAACAGGATCAAACTCATCCAACATCTCAACCAAACCTAAAAAAATTACCACTGTTATTTTGGTACACTTTTTCATTACTACCACGAAATGCAATATTACGTTTAGCAAGAAACTTAACCATTGAAATAATTCTCAATAAGACATTTCTCCAATGACACTTTTTTTTCTCAAATCCTTTTTGGGCTGCTTTGTCTATTGTTTGGTTCTTTTGAAATCCCAAACGCAAATCATACCAAGTGGCCATATTTTTAATATGTTCTAGACTAGTTTCATGCTCTTTCATCCTACCAATAATATGTGACCAATCATTAAAACCTTCATTTGCCAATTGACCCCTTGCACCTTTTTTTTTTAAAAGGTTACAACAAAAACAAAATATTCTATCAAGCTCTTATGAATAAACAAGCCAATCCCTATCACGCTTTTCACCATTCGGCAAAACTTTAGTAAACCAACTTGCACAAAATCTTTTTGAAAACTTATCTTTAAGACCCTTTTCAATAGATAAATCTCTTTTGGGACCCTTCTCAACCAAAATATTAATCATTTTAGAATGAAGAGAATCCATATTCTAGGATCAAAATTATCAATTTTTTCAAAATCTTCATCAAAACTAATTTGATCCACCACATCAAAATTAGGAGTTTCATCAACAATAGGAGCAACATTAGCATTAGCATCTAAAACATCATTATCATCAACAACATGATCAATATAAGCATTATCACCCGAAACACCTTTAGCATCAATAACAATAGGAGCAATATTAGCATCAGAATCATTTTCTTTCACCAAAAATTTATGAAGAGCTCCTTTGTACGATTGAGTTAACAACTCAATCCTCTATCTACTTTTACGTTTAGAACTACCCGATTCAAATTTTCTAGATGACATAATTAAAAATTGTTACAAAAAATTAATGATTCCACTAGGAAAGAACCACTAGGCAATCAACTAGCACTAATCAAAATTTATCAAGGCAAATCCCTGCAAAGAAAACAAAAAAGTGGTTAGAATGCTAGGACACACTCGGCCCACAACAAAAAAAAAAAAAAATAGTTGAAGAATACAGATTCCAGTTTTGGCTTATTTGACCATTCCAATTTTCAGCACATTTGGCTATTCCAATACCATTCGGCCTGGCCCAAAAAATACTCTCTTCAACCTCCAAGCAGAAGCAGAAGGAGAAACATAGAACATAGTCTCCAATTCCAATTTTCAAATTTCAATCGCATTCCCATTCAACAATTCTACAAGACAGCTATGGACAGGAAATTCTTACCGATTTTCAAACCACGGAGAAACGGAAGTCGCCAAATCGAAACTCGAATTCTCTGAACAGGGGGGAGAAGGCGAGCGCCGAAGTGTAACAGCCATCCGACGAACCAGTCGGAATGATGGAGTGATTTCGGCTAATCAGCTGCTTCAGGCTTTAGCAAGGAGGTGATTGATTTCATCAATCAAAGGAATGAAAATCGAAGGATGCGGGTGGATACTTCACCTTCTTGACCGAGTATTAAAGGGTGATTGAGGAATGACAGATTGAGTTGGTGAAAGGAGAGTAGAGACGTTGCGAAGAGAAACATTGGTGGATTAGAGACGTTGGTTTCTTTTTGGGAAGGTGAGAATTTTGGGAAAACTATTAATCATTAATAATTTTGGGAAGGGGAGGTTACGAGAATTGAGTAAGAGAAGCGAATAAAGAGGTTGTAGGGCGAGTTGCACGCTGAACATAAGACTCTTCGGCTGCCGCCGATGGAATTATGATTTTATGAGGCCATGTGCTGTGGATCAACCCAGCACAGGGCCTGGGCCGGGCCCGTCTGCTATCATTCCCTGTCCAAGATCGTGGAGCTGCAAAAGCATATCACTCACTTTTCGCAGAATGATGATGAGATCCTTAGTGATGTCTGGATGAGATACTCAGGCCTATTTTTGAAATGCCCCCAGATTCCTTTGCTTATTTATAATCTTCGTGAGTGGCTCCCAGATCGTCGTGATTGCGGGACTTGCGGGTGATTGTTGTGGCGGCGGCAGCAGCGGTGGACTTAATGGTACGGACTGGGGAAGCTAGAGCATGAGAAACAGAGGATAGAGATGGGTGGCTGCCATTGATATCACGACTCACGAGAGGGTGAAAATTTTATTTTATTTTCTCTTTTTAAAAGATAGAAATGAGGTGATAATTTTAAAAAATTAAAAATTATTTATTTTATTATTGTTTAATTGCCATCTCACATAGTTAATAGTAAACTTTTAGAGTTTACTGTCACGTAAACAAAAGTACACATTGTTGGAGACAAAGTGACCAAACTTGAAATATTTAACTAATATTAATGACCACGATTAAAATTAAATATTTTTAGTCACTAAATTTGAACGTTTTTAGTAATCCGAGTGACCAACCTTGAAATTTACCCGTAGATTTTTTAAGGGGTTGTTAAACTTAATCCTGAATATTATTACATATCCTAAAAAGCATCAAAGTTACACTTTTTCCTTTTATCTTAGAAGTTTGCACCCCACAAACACAGTCTTCACCAAAAAATAAAACACATGTCTCCTAAAGTTTTAAATATCATAACATTCAATCCCAATTTAACAACTGTATAGATGAATTACTTTTTTTTATTTCGGTTATGGAAAAAAGAAAGGGTTAATACCATAGTTTGACCCGAAGTTCAGCGTAAGTGACGATTCTAGCCCATTTTTCGAATAAGATATTTATGTCTTACTTTTGAAATTATTGGACAGATTTGACCCGAAACTTGTGTTGACTGTTAATATTAACTGTCAAATATTTATTCCGTCAATGACTTAGCATCAGTGCTGAAGTGGCAATGATGTTGCTTCCATGTCATTTTTATTTCAATTCTTTATTTCCAGTCTTTTTTTAGTTCTTAATAACTTGAAAAATAAAAATATAAAATTGAATTGTAAAACTCATCATAGCTTAACCGCAATAAAAAAAATTACAATCCCTGATTTTCTTCTGTCGTCGACAAAGCCAGCCTGGATCCGTCATAGGGGAATACAGAACTCCGATGACAAACTGCCACCGGTTTTTCTCCCTCCTTCCAACTCCCTCCACATTTCCCCAACCCGAATTGAGCCCGAATTCGCCAATCTTGCTGA